GTTTTTTTTTTTTAGGCAGCAAAACATATCAGTTTTATTAATAAAAGTACATTTTTAAATTATCTGGATTTCTGTATCATTGAACAAAAAGTGTCAAAAACAATTCTCATTTATTCTGTTTCTTTGCAAAGCTGTTGAGCAGTTAAATAATATCTATGAAAAAAATTTTTTTTTAATTTTAGACTGCAGTAAAATGAGGAAAATAGGAATGGCAACAGAAATTGTTTTAAAAATACATGAAGAAAATGATGATGAAGAAGGTGAAGTAGAATGAGAAACTGAGTTTTCTGGAACTCAGTCAAGTAGTAACTCAACATCTAGAAATACTGGAAAAAACAGAGATACGCATGAAATCAGGTAACAACGGATTCTTCTCACATCGATATGTAATGACCACTCAGAGAGCAGGAAGGCCATTCTCATTCATTGTCATGAACAGGAAAGTCCGAGGTATGTCTGTTCCAAGACAGAACACAGGTTTCTTCATTTTTCTGGAAGGCCATTATTTTATTTTGTATCTGTAAGAGTTAATGTTTAACTTGCCCGGTGGACTTTCACAAAATACCTCCACAAAAATTCTTCCTTAACCTTTGCACTCTTGGTCTTATTTTTCCTAATGTGCTCCATGTGCTTGGTCACAAGAAGTATAATCAGTTTCTCAGTCTAACCTAAACTTTTGAGGTCAAGGACTTGTGTTCCCTGTGTCCTTAGCAGTATCTGACTTGCAGCAAATACTTACTAACCTTTTTTGGCCAAAAGACACTCATTGAATAAGGATGATTCCTTAATGAAAAATAATTTTATACATATGTAAAGTTAAATTTGAATTTCAGGTGAGCTATGACATATTTGGGAAATATTTATACTACAAATTAATTCTTGTTTATCTGAAATGTCATTGCAATTATATGTTCTAATTTATCTGGCAACAGAAAATGAGGTTTTAAAAATAGCAAATGTCTTCAAGCCAGTTGAATTCAGATGACAGCATCAAGAAAGACTTAGATCCACACGTAGAAAGGATGTCTCTGCCTCATGGCCATAGGCATTGGGCTAGTCAGGAGTGTGATGTGCCTTCTCCTTTGTGTAGCCAGAGCTCCTCAGTCGTGGCCTCCACAGCTTTTTCACAAGTTCCTGGGCCAGACCCCTGGCTCGGGGCACGGACATGCCTGCGTCCATCAATCACCAGCAGCCTTCCTCGTCTCATTAATAATTACTTTAATCTCACCCAACTCCAACCTTCTCCAAAATGGACAACTCCACCATTTCACAGAGTATTGTAAGCCTTAATGAAGATCAAACTTTCAAACCTCTTAACCCAATGCCTACTAGAATTGTTTCTTAAAGAGTGTTTGCTTTTTTTAAATGCCTTCTTTGTTTTTGTATTTCATTACATTCTGTTTTACTAACTCAGTAAATCTGTAGAATGAAAAACTTTGGAGACAGAATCCTCTAGGAAATACTTGCTAACAAAGAATAGACTAGTGTCTTGGTTATGCCGCATGTTTGAAAATGAATTACATTAGGAAAAAAAAACTTGAGTGTTTTAAAATGAATGTACCTTGAGATTTCCTTATTTAGAATTATAACTATATATTTGAACTATTTTCCTATGCTTTATCCTGAGATGCTACTTCAGTCCTGGTTAATCATTCGCTTATGTACTTACTTATTCACCAAATATTTAGCAAGATTATCCATTGTACCTGGCACGACACAGAAACACAGAACTTTGGGACGCAAAGACGAGTGAGATATGGCCCCACTTCTCCTCCAAGTTAAGAGCCAATGTAAGAGACGAGTAAGGTAAGGAGTACACAATTAGATTCCACTCTAGTTAAATGCCATAACACACCATAAAATACGGCTAGTGTAGAATAATTGGGAGGGTGGAATATGGAAGGTGGGGTTGCAGTAGACAAGTTTCCAGGAAGAAATAATTCCTAAGTCGAAATTTCAAAGACCAGAAAACACCATAGGAAGAACAGTTGAAGAGGAAGGAAAAGTTGTCTAGGCAGTTGGAATAGATGAAGGTTTAAGCAAAGTTAAGGAAGCATAACAAAGCAGAGAAGAGCTCTCTTTCTCTACAAAGAAATTCACACAAGCAGAAGCATGCTGATGTGTAAAACCCTAACCTACCTGCTCCGCCTCTGTGCTGATGGTCACCAGATTGGCCCCAACCCCTGTACAGTTGCTGAAACTGTCATCCCAAGTCTTTCTGTCATTAAAAGTCATATAGCAGTTGGACTGGAAGGCTCTCCAACCAGCAGGGCAGCAGGTCCATGTGCTCCCTCGGGTAAAAAAGGAAACGGAAACGTAATTACAAGAAGCATTTCATCTGAAACAGGTTGGGTAAGTAGCGCACTGCCCATTATCCAATTTCCCACTTGTGGGAATAGGGCTTGGATTATCAAAGCCCTGAAACTTACAAGCTTAAATATCTTCTAAACAGAAGCATCCGGGTCACAAAATGACCATGAGGAAAGAACACAGAGCTGCCTAGGACAACATGATCGCTACTCCACACTCCTCCGTCTACCTGGTGTCATGCTTTGAGTATTTTCACAACAAATTCTTTTACGGGAGTTTTTCTTTGAAGGGAGCAAAGAACCTACCAACATCAAAAGCATTTCTTTCTCCTCAATAAGACCTAGAAATTCCAGAATATTCAAAGAGATAGGCTTTTGGCAAAGAACGAAGAAAACTTTTTTATGATATAAATGAACCCAGGGAAACTGAAATTAAAATAGTATTATGGAAAAAAAAA